CCCCCCATTATGTCTCCTCTCAGCCTTCTTTTCTTCAGGCTAAACATGCCCAGCTCCTTAAGCCGCTCCTCATAGGGCTTGTTCTCCAGACCCTTGCTCATTTTAGTCGCCCTCCTCTGGACACATTCCAGCTTGTCAACATCTCCCTTCAATTGTGGTCTAATGAGAGTCTAACGTATTATTATTATTATTATTATTATTATTATTATTATTATTATTTGCATTTATACTCTTGCCTGTGAACTTTCCTAATGAAGAAAAAGGAAGAGAATTCAGCTCTTTGAGCCACTCCTCATAGGGCTTGTTCTCCAAACCCTTGATCATTTTAGTCACCCTCCTCTGGACACATTCCAGCTTGTCAACATCTCCCTTCAATTGTGGTCTAATGAGAGTCTAACGTATTATTATTATTATTATTATTATTATTATTATTTGCATTTATACTCTTGCCTGTGAACTTTCCTAATGAAGTAAAAGGAAGAGAATTCAGCTCTTTGAGCCACTCCTCATAGGGCTTGTTCTCCAAACCCTTGATCATTTTAGTCACCCTCCTCTGGACACATTCCAGCTTGTCAACATCTCCCTTCAATTGTGGTCTAATGAGAGTCTATCGTATTATTATTATTATTATTATTAGCATTTATACTCTTGCCTGTGAACTTTCCTAATGAAGAAAAAGGAAGAGAATTCAGCTCTTTGAACCACTCCTCATAGGGCTTGTTCTCCAAACCCTTGATCATTTTAGTCACCCTCCTCTGGACACATTCCAGCTTGTCAACATCTCCCTTCAATTGTGGTCTAATGAGAGTCTAACGTATTATTATTATTATTATTATTATTATTATTATTATTATTATTTGCATTTATACTCTTGCCTGTGAACTTTCCTAATGAAGAAAAAGGAAGAGAATTCAGCTCTTTGAGCCACTCCTCATAGGGCTTGTTCTCCAGACCCTTGATCATTTTAGTCACCCTCCTCTGGACACATTCCAGCTTGTCAACATCTCCCTTCAATTGTGGTCTAATGAGAGTCTATCGTATTATTATTATTATTATTATTATTATTATTATTATTATTTGCATTTATACTCTTGCCTGTGAACTTTCCTAATGAAGAAAAAGGAAGAGAATTCAGCTCTTTGAGCCACTCCTCATAGGGCTTGTTCTCCAAACCCTTGATCATTTTAGTCACCCTCCTCTGGACACATTCCAGCTTGTCAACATCTCCCTTCAATTGTGGTCTAATGAGAGTCTAACGTATTATTATTATTATTATTATTATTATTATTATTATTATTATTATTTGCATTTATACTCTTGCCTGTGAACTTTCCTAATGAAGAAAAAGGAAGAGCATTGGTTTGAAGGTATATTTGGACACCATGTATCAGTGATATGTGCCAGAGTGATGGCAAATTTAGCCCACTCATTGATGGAGAGAGGTTTTGGATATGGGAAGATATGTCTATCATGATGGTCTCTGTGTCTTTTCCACTTCGCCAGGCGTTCCCCTGCCTCCGCAACAGACGCCTGCCGTCCTCCTCCTCCTCCTCCTCAATCCTGCCTTGTCCACACTGCTAATCCGGTGAGTAATCCACGCGTGATGGCGTCTGTGTGGGAGTGTATGCCCAGCCTCCTCTTTGGCCAACCTCCTCCTTCCTCAGAGGCGGCCAACGTAAGAGAAACCTCTCTCCGGAACGTTCCTTTTATAGCCAAGCAGCTCCGCCCCCTGGGGGTGTGGCCAAGAGCAAACGCAGCCAATACGCGTGTATCAGCGATGGAGCTCCGCCCCTTCCCCCTATATGGATGTGGGCGTGGCCAGGAGTAGGAGGGCGTGGCTTAGCAAAGAGGCCGGGCATCCTCATTCTTTTGAGGCTGGAGCGCACGTGGAGGAGGGTTAAGGCCTCGCCCCTTTTCTCCTTTTAAGGATATAGAGGCGGGGCCAGATCAGCGAATGGGAAGGGCACTTGGATGAGTGATATGGCCCCGCCCCTTTTTCCTGCGGAAATAGCAGATGAAAGCACCTTCCTTTTAAAGACTTCCGGGGAGGGGCCAGAAAGAAGAGGGGCGTGACTTAGCGGAGAGTGGGCGTGGCCTCTGTATTCGACGCGGGCGGGGCAAGAAGTGGGAGGAGTCGGGGGCGGGGCCTCGATTCCCACTCTTCCTCTTCCCTAGTTCTAATCTACAGCACGTTAGGAGGAGGTGACTCCGCCCCTTTTTTCCTTTTAAGGACAAAGAGGCGGGGCCAGAAGAGTGGCCAGCCTCTCTATTAAAAAGCTTTCAATAGGACGAGGATTGGAGATTAGGGCAAACTTAAAACGTGGGTGAAACGTCAGGAGAGAATGCTACTGGGGAACAAGGGTCAGGAAAAGTCACATCAACCCAAAACCTGATAAAAAGGAGCAGCCTGGAAGATAAGGGTGGAGGAATCTGTTTATCCAACACTCCCTCATTTGCATTCATAGAATCATAGAATCCTAGAGTTGGAAGAGACCTCATGGGCCATCCAGTCCAACCCCTTGCCAAGAAGCAGGAATGTTGCATTCAAAGCACCCCTGACAGATGGCCATCCAGCCTCTGTTTAAAAGCTTCCAAAGAAGGAGCCTCCACCACACTCCACCATTCTCACGTTGAAAGGGGCTAAAGCCAGGGGGCTAAAGCCACGCCCCCTTTCCCCTTTTTAGAGTGGGCTGCCACTCCATGAAAAAACCTTCCCAGAGGAGGAGGAGGATTTGAAAAACTTAAAAGAAGGATTATCTATTTATTTCGTATCAAAAGCATTGCAGAAATTAGTATAAAACTGATAAAAATAGAACGTGTTTAGGCGGCTAAATATCTTTTGACCAAAAACGGGCAACAGCAACGGCATTGTCTGTAGCCTCCAACAATTCTTTCTCTGTACATGAGGCAGGACATAGTCGACAAGCATACAGATGTGGAGTCATCTGTTCTGCTCCACAGTCACACATGATGTGGGATTCTTTTAGGTAGTGCCATTTTGCCAGGTTGTCTTTTGATCTGCCCACTCTGCTTCTGAGTCTGTTCAAGGACTTCCCAGTTGCCCATTCTTGGTTTGCCCCATTGTGGGGGCCATCCAGTTGGGATTTCCTGGTTTAGCTGCCCAGAGGAATACCCTTGATGTTGCTGGGGGGACGCCAAGAGGAGTGGTGGTTCTCATAAAGTTTTTCCTTTGAGTCTACTGGGAGGAGGCTGATAGCCATGTAATGGATGGCTTTCACAGTGTTCAACCTTATTTCTCTCAAAGTCAGCAGCAGCCTCCCATTGCACATGGGGTGGGGATGGGGGCAATGCCAGCTAGCTTGTAGAGTTTATCAACCGGTGTAGGTTTAAAACATCCTGTGATTATTCTGCATGTTTCGTTCAATGCTATGTTCACCTGCTTTGCATGGGCGGACTTATGCCAAACAGGGCAGGCATAAAAAGTGGGTGAAATGTCAGGAGATAATGCTTCTGGGGGAAAATGGCCAGGAAAACTCACAGCAACGCAAAACCTAAAAGTGACGGGGGAGGAACTTGGAATAGAAGGGGTGGGGATCTTTATTCGCCACACCCTTGTCTGCATTGTCGCCTTGAAAGAAGCTAAAGCCCCGCCTTCTTCCCTTTTATGGGCAAAGAGGCGGGGCTAGAGGACCGGAGTAGATCATAGAATCATAGAATCAAAGAGTTGGAAGAGACCTCATGGGCCATCCAGTCCAACCCCCTGCCAAGAAGCAGGAATATTGCATTCAAATCACCCCTGACAGATGACCATCCAGCCTCTGTTTAAAAGCTTCCAAAGAAGGAGCCTCCACCACACTCCAGGGCAGAGAGTTCCACTGATGAACGGCTCTCACAGTCAGGAAGACAACTCCACGCCCTTATTCTCTAAAGCCCCGCCCATTTCCCTTTTAAGGACAAAGAGGCGGGGCTAGAGGACCGGGCAGCCGAGAAGAGCAACGTCCCGACCTTTTCGCCTTTAAGCCAAAGAGGCGGGGCTAGGAGACAGGAGTAGGAGAATAACGCCCCGCCCTTTTCTCCTAATAAGAACAAAGAGGCGGGGCTAGAGAACCGGAGTAGCAGGGTAATGCCCCGCCCTTATACTCTAAAGCTCCGCCCCTTTCTCTTTTAAGGGAAAGAGGCGGGGCTAGAGGACTAGGCAGCCGAGGAGCACAACGCCCCGCCCTTTTCTCCTTTTAAGGGCAAAGAGGCGGGGCTAGAAACCGGAGGAGAATAACGCCCCTCCCTTTTCTCCTAATAAGGAAAACGAGGCGGGGCTAGAGGACCGTAGTAGGCGGACAAAGCCCCGCCCTTCTCTTCTTAAGGGAAAAAGGCGGGGCTAGAGGACTGGGCAGCTGAGGAGGACGACGCCCCGCCCTTTTATCCTTTTAAGGGCAAAGAGGCGGGGCTAGAGACCGGAGGAGAATAACGCCCCCCCTTTTCTCCTAATAAGGACAAAGAGGCGGGGCTAGAGGACCGTAGTAGGCGGACAAAGCCCCGCCCTTCTCCTCTTAAGGGAAAGAGGCAGGGCTAGAGGACTGGGCAGAGGCGGAGTACTACGCCCCGCCCTTTTCTCCTTTTAAGGGCAAAGAGGCGGGGCTAGAGAACAGTTCTGCGGAGTAGGAGGATAACGCCTTGCCTTTTTTTCCTTTTGAGGACAAAGAGGCGGGGCTAGAGTACAGGGAAAGCTGAGGAGTATAATGCCCCGCCCTTTTTTCCTTTTAAGGGCAAAGAGGCGGGGCTAGAGGATTGGATAGCGAAGGAAAATCTGCGCTTTTCTCCTTTTAAGGGCAAAGAGGCGTGGCTAAAGAGTATAACGCCCCGCCCCTTTCTCCTTTTAAGGGTAGAGAGGCGGGGCCAGAGGACGGGGAAGCGGAGGAGGAGGATAAATCCACGCCCCCTTCTCCTTTTAAGGGCAAAGAGGCGGGGCGCGAGGAGTGGGCCGCGCGGCATTAAAAGCCTTGTCGGAGCACGAGTGCCGGGCAGTGCGTGGAGGCAGGCGCGCTCCCCGAGCGAAGCGGCGCCGAAGCAGGTCCCGCCCGCCATGCTGGAGAATGGCTCCTTGAGGAACTGCTGCGGCGGCTTCCCGGCGGGGCGAGGGGCTTCGGCGGCGGCGGCGGCAGCAGCGACGACGGCGGCCGGCGGGGCGGCTCCTCGTCCGGGCTGGGTGGCCCCGGCGCTGTCCGGAGTGCTGATCTTCACCACCGTCGTCGACATCGTGGGCAACCTGCTCGTCATCCTCTCCGTCTTCAAGAACCGCAAGCTCAGGAATTCAGGTGAAGGAGGGAGAGAGAGGAACCCACAAGACTAGGAAGAACTTCCTCAGAGTTGGGATTAGTTCTGGGGGGCCGTCTGTCGGGAGTGCTTTGATTGTGCCTTGCTGTATAGCAGAATGGGGTTGAACTCTTGGGAGTTTCTTCCAATGTTGGGTTGATGTGAGTTTTCCATGTTCCAGAAGCATTCTCTCCTGACGTTTCGCCCACATCTATAGCAGGCATCCTCAGAGTTTGTCAGGTCCGGAAAACTCACAGCAACCCAATGAAAAATGTTTCCTTTGTATTGTCTGGGTTGTTATGGTACATGGCCATATCCAGAAGCATTCTCTCCAGACGTTTCGCCCACATCTATAGCAGGCATCCTCAGAGTTTGTGAGGTCCAGAAAACTCACAACAACCCAATGAAGATTGTTTCTTTTGTATTGTCAAAGGCTTTCATGGCTGAAATCACTGGGTTTTTGTGTGATTGCCAGGCTGTATGGAGAGAAGCATTCTCTCCTGACGCTTCGCCCACATCTGTGGCACGCATCCGTAGAGGTTGTGAGGTGTGGAAAACTCACAGCAACTCAATGAAAAATGTTTCCTTTGTATTGTCAAAGGTTTTAATGGCCGAAATCATTGGGTTGTTATGATACATAGCCATGTCCAAGAAGCATTCTCTCCTGACGTTTCACCCACATCCTCAGAAGTTGTGAGGTCTGGAAAACTCACAACAACCCAATGAAGAATGTTTCCTTTGTCCTGTAAAAGGCTTTCATGGCCGAAATCACTGGGTTGTTGTGTGTTTGCCGGGTGAAGCATTCTCTACTGACGTTTCACCCACATGTTTGGCAGGCATCCTCAAAGGTTGTGAGGTCCGGAAAACTCACAGCAACCCAATGTAAAATGTTTCCTTTGTATTGTCAAAGGCTTTCATGGCTGAAATCACTGGGTTGTTGTRTGTTTGCCGGGCTGTATGGCCAYRTTCCAGAAGCATTCCCTCCTGACGTTTCGCCCACATCTATAGCAGGCATCCTCAGAGGTTGTGAGGTCCGGAAAACTCACAGCAACCCAATGAAAAATGTTTCCTTTGTATTGTCAAAGGCTTTAATGGCCGAAATCACTGGGTTRTTATGGTACATGGCCATGTCCAAGAAGCATTCTCTCCTGACATTTCGCCCATATCTGTGGCAGGCATCCTCAGAGGTTGTGAGGTCCGGAAAACTCACAGSAACCCAATGAAAAATGTTTCCTTTGTATTGTCTGGGTTGTTATGGTACATGCCATATCCAGAAGCATTCTCTTCTGACGTTTCGCCCACATCTATAGCAGGCATCCTAAGAGTTTGTGAGGTCCGGAAAACTCACAGCAACCCAATGAAAAATGTTTCCTTTGTATTGTCTGGGTTGTTATGGTACATGGCCATATCCAGAAGCATTCTCTCCTGACGTTTCACCCACATCTTTGGCAGGCATCCTCAAAGGTTGTGAGGTCCGGAAAACTCACAGCAACCCAATGTAAAATGTTTCCTTTGTATTGTCAAAGGCTTTCATGGCTGAAATCACTGGGTTGTTGTGTGTTTGCTGGGCTGTATGGCCATGTTCCAGAAGCATTCCCTGCTGACATTTCGCCCACATCTATAGCAGGCATCCTCAGAGGTTGTGAGGTCTGGAAAACTCACAACAACCCAATGAAGAATGCTTCCTTTGTATTTTCATGGCCAAAATCACTGGGTTGTTGTGGGTTTACCGGGCTGTATGGACATGTTCCAGAAGCATTATCTCCTGATGTTTCGCCCACATCTATGGCAGGCATTCTTGGGTCTGTGAGGTCTATTGGAAACTAGTCAAGTGGGGTTTATATATCTGTGGAAAGTCCAGGGTGGGAGAAAGAACTCTTGTCTGTTGGAGGCAGTTGGCTTCCTTAATTAGCATTGAATAGCCTTGCAGCTTCATGATCTGGCTGATTCCTTCCAGGGGGAATCCTTTGTTGGGAGGTGATTAGCTGGCCCTGATTGTTTCCTGCCTGGAAATCCCCTGTTTTTTGAGTGTTGTTCTTTATTTACTGTCCTCATTTTAGAGTTTTTTTAAATACTGGTAGCCAGGTTTTCTTCATTTTCATGGTTTCCTCCTTTCTGTTGAGATTGTCCACATGCTTCTTGTGGATTTCAATGGCTCCTCTGTGTAGTCTGATATTAGTTGTTAGAGTGATCCCTGGAGGAAACAATCAAAATGAACAAAATCTGGCTATATATGTTGTAGGTCTAAATGGCATTGAATGAGGAAACTTTGAGGGCAATCATCCTTTTGAAAGGACTGTGTTTGGAAGACAGATTTAGTCATGCATTGCAAACAGAGGGACTTGTGACTATCATAAGTCTCATTGATTGCCATGGCTTTGCTCCAAGCATGATTAAGAGCAGATTTGACCCACTAACAAACAAATGTGCCTGAAGTTTCCACTTCAGATCTCAACTGGAAAGCATCCAAGCCTAGTTTCAGATTGATGGAGATGGTTCAGTCCCACGTTTCTAGGTTTCAAACCTGAACTGATGCATCTACAACCTTTTTTTGACCAGGGACTTCTCTCCAATATTAGTACCCAAAGGTTATGAATCAGTTTTTGGTCATCTTTAGATTCAGTTTTCCGGGCTGTGTGGCCATGTTCCAGAAGCATTCTTTCCTGATGTTTCACCCACATCTATGGCAGGCATCCTCACAACTTCTGAGGACTCTTGCCATAGATGTGGGTGAAACGTCAGGAGAGAATGCTTCTGGAACATGGCCATACAGCCTGGAAAACTCACAGCAACCCAGTGATATGAAATTGCATTCATTCTACAGTGTAGATGCACCCTCAGTGGTAGTAACAGCACCAAATCCCCAGACTTACTGATATCATTGCCAAAGTTCATAATGCGCTTTTCCTCTCCTTGTTACACTATCTCTTCTCCTTGTTACACTATCTCTCTCTGTTTCACTGTTAAGTCATACTTCACAGTAGGGAATCAGCAGATAGAGAGATCAACCCATCCAGAGTTAAGCCACTTTCAAATCCTATTGACTTCTAGGGAAAATATATAATCCTGTCCTATACTTCTTCATTTGGTAAGCTAATAAGTTTAACCAAGGCTTGGAAAGACTGCATTTTGGACTATAGCTCCCAGCATTTCCCAGATAAGATGGTAATGAGAGTTGTAACCTCAAAAAAAACAAACCCCAAATACTTCCGAACTCTGGTCTTGAAGGTTGTTTGGATAGTGTGCATTTTGATCCCCAGTGAGAAAGGTTGCAGGGCTGTTTAAACTGTCAAATGGATGCAGTTCGACACCACTTTAACTGCCATGGCTCAATGCTATGGAACCCTGGGATCTGTAGTTTGGTGAGACATCAGCACTCTTGGGCAGAGAAGGTTTAAAGACCTTGTAAAACTACAGGTGGTGCCAAACCCCATCCATTCTACAGCACAGTGTGTTTCAAACTTTTGCTTGCTAAGGCTTTAACAACAGAGCTCAGAAAAGTTGTCTTTTGGCCACTTGCTGGAGGACTTCTCTGGTTGACAGGCAGGTCTTTGCTGTATGTCTGTTAATAAAAGCGCTTGATGTAAATCTGGAATACTGGCCGCTAGACTAGAGTGTTTGACTTGGAATTTTCAAAAATCTGGTGGCATGGAGCGACTGAGATTGCTCTCGCTCAGCAGCGCGCTTGGATGCTGACTTAGAAACCGATTGCTGTGCAGTTCTGGGAGTGTTTGCGAAACTCTCCCTCTGCAGGGAGCTTTTCTTAACTGCAGGCTCTGCAAATGAAAGGGAGCCGGTGTGGTTTTTCCAGCACTTAGTCGGTAGACAGCTCCAGCATGCCTTGAATTAGAGCATGAAAGGATGGCGGACTTCCCTCTTGAGAACTTTGCAAAGTTGGGAAAGTGTCTTTTTGGTTAGAATCTCCCAGAACACACCATGAGAGTCTGGATGTTGCAGTCTGGAGATAACTTTTCCAAGCTCTGATAGGTTTCAAAAGAAAGACAGTTCCCATCTTTTCTGTGACAGTGTTTGGCTTCTGCACCATCTTGGGTCATATATGCTCAACCGATGGTGATAAATTACAGAAGTTTGCCATTAGTTTGCCATTAACAACCCTGAAACAATCTTAAAGTTGCCTTGTAGCTAGCAGATTTCAAAGTCAATCCTATACAGTAGGTAGAGGCAAACCCAGGCCTGGGGGCCAAATACGAACCCTTGGGCTCGTTTCTCAGGCCCTCCTCTCTCTCATCCTATTGTTCCTTCCTTCTCTCTTTCTTTCCTCCTTCCCTTCCTTACCTCCCTCTTTCTCCCTCTCTCCCTCCTTCCCCTTCCTTTTCACCCTTCCTTCCTTTCCTCTTTCCTCCCTCCTTCCCTCTCTCTCTTTCTCCTTCCTTCCTTCCCTTTTGTCTTTCCTCTTCTCTCTTTCCTTCCTCCCTCTTCCTTTCACCCTTCCTTCCTTCCACCTTCCTTCCTTCCACCTTCTCTTCTCCCTTTCTTCCTCTCTTTCCTTCTCTTCCTCTTCCTTCCCTTCTTTCCTTCCTCCTTCTTTCTCCTTCTCCTCCCTCTCCACCCTTCCCTCCTTCTTTCCTTCCTTCCTTCCTTCCTTCCCTCCCTCCTTCCCTCCTTCTCTCTTCCTCTCCCTCCTTTTTTCCTTCCCTCCTCCCTCCTTCCCTTTTGTCTTTCCTTCCTTCTCTCTTTCCTCCCTTCCTCCCTCCCTCCCTCCCTCCATTCCCTTCCTCCCTCCATTCCCTCCCTCCCTCCCTTTCCTCTCTTCTTCCTTCTTCCTTTCCTCCTGGGGGATGTTTAGCTGGGAGAAGAGGGAACATGAGAACCATGTTTCAAGATTTAAGCGCGTGTCCCATTCAGGAGGAGGAGGGGGGGGGGCTGACTTTGGGCTGCTCTAGAGACCAGGGCACAAGGGAGCAATGGTTTCAAATGGCAGGGAAAGAGATATAACTGAAGAGATTATGAAAACCTTCCTGAGAGTAAGAGCTGTTGGAGA